CTATTAGAGATACTCATACAACATAATTTTCCAAAACTACAATTTCATCTTCAACCGTTAAATAATATTTTAAAAAATATGGGCAGATGTATATTTGTAATCAAATCTCTCTCCCCACCACGTGACTTCATTTTGGTGAGCCCTTCTCTCAAAACGCATCCACTGACCCTTCCTCGATAACTAAATCAAACTCACACATTTTCACCTGACAGTAACAGTAATCAGTAACCACAGTAGAAAATTTAAAAGAAATACACACGGTTTTCCACTTTATTAACTAAACATAAAAAGACAATGAAATTAATAGGGTGATACTATTCACCACCCCCATTTTACTAGTCACCACCTCCTTGGACGATTTTACCCTTTTCATTTTTTCTAAACATCTTAGAGGAAAGTGCACGGTGAAATGTCGTCAAATTCGGAAGTACGAAAAATTATGTGTCCGGCCGCCGGAACCGGACGGCTTTTAGTCCGTCCGACCGCCGGAATCGGACGGTTTTTGAGCCGTCCGGCGGCCGGTCCAGACGGGCTAAAAGCCGTCCGAAAAGTCCGGCCGGTCGGACGGGCCTTGTCCGAACCGGCCGGCCGGACGGCTTAAAAGTCGTCCGAAAACGACGGCCGGTCGGAAACGGTCCGTCCGGTTTGGCCGGCCGGACGATTTTTTTTTTATTTTTTTTTTTAAATTATTATGTTATATATTTGAAATAATTATGTTATAAATTAGACTATATTATTATGTTATAAATTATTATGTTACATTTTAGATTTGATTATGCTATAAATTTGACGTTTATCGTGTTAGGAGTTACAAATTATTATGTTACATGTTGATTATAATATAAATTGGACGTTAGATATTATCGTGTTACGAGTTAGAAATTATTATATTACATGTTAGTCTTGGTTATGTTATAAATTGACGGACGTTACATAGTATCGTCTTAGGAGTAACAAATTATTATGTTACATGTTATAGTTGATTATATTATAAATTGGACGTTAGATATTATCGTGATCGTGTTAGAAGTTACAAATTATTGTGTTACATGTTAGACTTCATTATGCTATAAATTGGACGTTAGATAATATCATGTTATGAGTTACAAATTATTATGTTACATGCTAAAATTAATTATCTTAATTTAACATGTTCTAAAAATATAAATATTGTACTATATAGCAGGAGTCATGGGAAGATTATGGAGGAGATGGTGTTGATTACAGTCTGCGTTTCGATACCTGTACATTATATAATAGTGCTCAGGACGCTATTGAAGCTGCAAAACACCAGGCAATGCTGAATGGTTTCCTATTAATAATTTCGAGCCACAAAAAGAAAACGGTCAGGCTTTTGAAGTGCCATAGAGGCGAACGGTACAGAGGCACAGGCGAAAATTCTAGAAAGACAAAAACGAATAAGTGCGGCTGCAATTTTGAGATCAAAGTAAAAATGTGTCCGGCGTTCCACACTGGAGGATCTGTAGATGTAGCAATGAAGAGAAGGGCTACCATAACCATACATTTGTTGTGTATCCTGAGGGTCATCGCCAGTTGAGCGGCCTCAGCGCTTCATCTAAGAAAATTGTTCGTGATATGACGGACGCTCAGGTGGCCTTGGCAAAAATTATGGCCGCGCTGAAGGAAAAGAATCCGGGAGACAACGTTCATGTGCGACATGTATATATATTTATATCTTGTAATATATGTTTTTATTAACTTTTTGAAGTTAATTATTATAATTATTAATTGTTTATATGTAAAAGTTGTTGTAGTAATTAATAAATTTTATTATATTTACTAATGTATTATTATTGTGATAGTTAATAATTTTTTATCAAATTAATCGCATTAATATACTTTTTTATTTATTAATATAATATTCTTTTTTGTTTTAAATTATAATAATCATTATAATTAACGTTAATCGGTGACATGTATATAACTTTTGAGATAAGCTGCGGAAAGAGAGTTTCGACGGTAGAGACGTTCCTTCCCGGCTTATGCATTTGGCCGTGAGCAGTGAGTATACAGTTTATGTAGAATCCGATCCGAACACGAAAGCGTTGACGCATATATTCATGGCCCATCCTGCGTCGATCAATATATTCTGGACATATCACTGGTATGTCGGCATAGATTCCACGTATAAAACCAACAGGTATGTTACTTTATAAATACTTTATTAGTATGAATCTTAAATAGTGTGTTTGATTTAGTAAACTTTTACTTAATTATATTTTTTGTCTTCTTGGTCTCATTTGTACAGGTACAAGATGCCGTTGGTCGAGATGATAGGGATGACACCGTGCAACCAGAACTTCCTAATTGCGTATGCGCTCATCAGGGACGAGAAAGAGGCCAGTTACGACTGGGTTCTAGAGAAGTTGAGACTGCTGATAGGCCAAGACGTATATCCTTATGTTGTTGTCAGTGACAGAGAGTTGGTTTACTCACTCCTATTCAGAGGCATTTTCCTGAATCAGCCCACTTACTCTGCATGTGGCACATCCACAAGGATGTGGAAGCCAGAGCCTACAAACTATTTGGGAAGAGTAAGAAATTCTCGGAGATTTTCACGCACAGTACATGGAAGGCGATTGCAGAGGCCAGTACGTTCGATGCCTACACCGATGCCGTTGCCGAGCTGTACGCAAAATATTCGAAGTCCCCAGAGGTGATACAGTATGTGGAGGGCACTTGGTTAGGGCACCGCGAGAAGTTTGTGAAGGCTTGGACCAACCGAGTGACACATTTTGGAAACACAACTTCCTGTAGGGTGGAGAGTGCCCACTTTGTGTTGAAGGAGTGGCTTCAGACGTCCACCGGCGCACTCGATACAATTTGGCAGAAGATTAATAAGCACATCAATAATCAAGTGACTGAAATCAAGTACGTACTGCAATTTTTAAATGCGCTATTATATTACTGCATTAATTAATTACAATCTAACGTTATGTAACGTATTATCAGGACGGCGCTTGAGGCCTCGAGATCTAAGAAGAATACACGGTATAAGGGAATCCTTTTCACGAGCGTGATACTGAGGGTCTCGCATTACTGTCTGAGTTTATTGGACGCTGAGCTTACGAGGATGCACGGCTTGGGCACCGATGTTTACACTAGCTGCGGCTGTGTATTGCAGCTCACTCATGGACTTCCTTG